ATTAGTAGGGCTGTAGCGAAGCCTCGACTACGTCGACGGCTCGATTCTAAAAATTTGTCGACGTCAGATCCGGAAGTCGACGCACCGCGCCCACTTGTTGCATCCCCAGGAGTTTGTAAATAGAGGAGGAATCTGCCTGTTTTTCCTCTAGTTCGCCCTCTTCTCCGCCTTCACTAACATCTCCGCCAAATACCGAAGACCCGGAACAATGTCCGTCCACTACTAGATTATTTTCCTGTTTTGCCCGCCTTCGTCTCCCGGCAACGGACAACAACTTCCGGGGTCAGATGCGCTGCTTCGTCTCTACCGCAGATGTAGAAAATCACCGGGAGCGTTTCTCCCTTCATAAAGGAGCTTCTTTCAGACATGAGGAGAGCTGTTTTGGTGGTAGCAGTCTCTCCTCTGTGCTGGTCTGTTTGCTGCTGGGTGTTTTGGTTTATTTAAACTTGGTAACTTGAACTTAACGTTGGTAAAGCTACTGTTAGCATCTTCGCTAACAGCTTCTTGCGTTGGGATAAGCTGTTACGTTTTGGTTTAGAGTTCATCTTTTTTGTGGTGTAGATCTCCCTTTTATTACATTTAGAGTGTTGTGGGTTTTCGGTTTAGTGTAAAATATCACCTGAGTTTGGTTTAACCCGTAACACCACTCGCCTCACGCACATAAGTGACCAAAACAAAGCAGCATGGAGACACTCCATCTTCTACCACCTCTCAGGCAGCAGCCTGCACTCCCAAGTTCTACACGTCACCAGAACATAACCAACCAACACAATAAAAGCAGTGTTATACAAAATGGAAGGTCTGTAGTGTTTATTCTCTTACAGTAAGAATTTATCAATTTTTTTGAGGAATTTATTTGAGATTTTCTGGTTTTTGTTAATTGTGCAATAGAAAAATAATCATTAGATTAATTTTCTAAATAGTCATTAGAATAGTCGACTATTCGATAAAATAATCGTCAGAATAATCGTTTTAAAAATAATCGTTTACCCCCAGCCCTATTAATTAGAGCTACTGATTTATTTAGTTTACACAATAAATGGACTTACTGTTAATTGCAACAAATGTGTTCTGTTAGTGGGATCTGGGTCAGAGCTCGAACCCCAGCTTGTCCTGGTGACTGGGTGGAGCCGATGGTAAAATGATCAACATCGTTGACAACGACCCAACTGACTGGAGCTTAAAGAGCAAGTCACCCCCAAATAAACTTTTTTTTGCTGATAAACTAAATAAACGAGTGTCTAATCGTGCTGCAGACACGTGTCGTCAATAATTTGGCCCTTCAGTGCATCTTAGTTAAAATATAAATATTCTGCCTAAAACTGGCAGTGTTGTGCCGTTGTCAGGTAAAAACTCTGCACTGTCTTTTAATTTAAATCTGCCACCGCTATTGGCTAAGAGGTATGCTATGATGTAAACTGGTACATTATGATGTCACAATGCTGTCGTGAGCCTGAGTGTGTGTGTATTTGTTAGCGGCTCCGCCCTCTTGGTCTGCCAGGCAACAGCATTTGTTGCATTTTTCAAACATGAAGTGGGAGTGGAGTTAGACTCTGATAGGGGTTGACTTGCTCTTTAAGGCTTAGGTCGCTGCCCCACCTGAGGGCCTTAGCTCAGAGCGTAGGAAGTCGTGCTGGGTCTCAGTCCTGTTACATAAGACTGTCTAGCCTTGGTGCGGGGAAGGAAAATGGGTTTGATGTCCCACATAGTCTCCGTCAGCTTCCAAAGCGACACCCATATCCTTCTCTCCACATCTCTCCAATTAGCCGTGATGTAGCAGAGAGAGAGAGGCCTCCGCCGAGCCTGGGCACACTGAACATTCCCCTGGAGTCCTGCCAACACTCACTGGCTCCAGCTTCGATACCCCCATCCCCCTGCCTCCATCGCTGCCTGGCTTAGCTCTGGTGGGCCCCTTTAGCACTGCCCCCTCCGCTGGCACCCAACTTACACAAGGAGGAGGTAACAGACACCGCCCACCCTCCATATAACCAGACACAGGAAACACATGAGCTTCCCCCAAACTCTAGACTCACTGTTCAAAGTCAACCCTGAGATTCACAAACTCATAATCACACATGAAGTCCGTTTTATAGACCGGACCCCCGAGCCTGCTCATGTGGAGTCTGTCTACTTTAATCCTGGGTGATGTAATCCACCTTAAGGACACACACTCATAACTAGTGCCAACACTAAACAGATTCACCCCCTCCCTTATTCACGGTTCGCACACACAAAAACACTGCACTTGATACAATGGCCACACTGAACACACATGCCTGGTAAATCTATATCCTGCCCTCCTTCACTTCAAAACAGCAACACAATGAGACCAGAGGAAGAGGATAATAGCTTCTGGCAGCTTCCAATCGAATCCAGCTGATTCGACTGTCAAGGCTCCCCTACCGGAGCAGCCCCCGCGGCGGTGTTAAGCATGTTATCCATCAGGACTGCGCTGTCGGCCACAGCCGGGCATGGGCCGGTGGAGGAAAAGGGACACTCGGCAGAAGCCAAACAAACGTTTAAAACAGAAAAGTTTTGTTTGTTTGTTTGTTTACAATCCCAGCTTCAATGGGCAAAAGAGACGACTTAAGAGGAACTGAAATACTTATTTGAGGACCAAAAAGCATATGAAGGAGTAGCGCGCCAACAGGTTGGTCCTTTCCATTTGGACCTGTGGAGGAAACAGCAGACCGTATGTTCTGCGTGTAAAGGGTCAAACAAGGAGAATCAGCTGTGGGTTTCCCCCCGTAAAGGAACGCTCCTGCCCTTTCTGTAATAAGCAGCTGCAGACGGGAGTTACTGCCAGGGCCTGTCCTCATGGCATTGTTACAATACAGTCTAATCAAAATAACGTCTAGGTGCCAACAGCCTGGTTAGATCAAGAGCCAACATGGGGAATGCGTTTCCTGCCAGAAGGCTGCCAAAATGGGCAAAGTGAAATAATTGTATGCGTCTGGGCGTTGATGTCTTATGGTTGCTTTGCAACAAGGAAAAAAAAAACAAGATGTGGTTGCAATTGTTCCTAATCTCTGTCAGATCTTGGTAAATACTGGTTTAAATGATTGATTTGTGCACTTAAACAAAATCTGCCTCTTTGTGCTGAGAGTCAAGTCACTCTCCATGCTGGTGGTTTAATATCAACGATACTCTGATTCATACCAAGGCGCTCTGATGCTGGGGTACATTTGTGGCTGGTTTAAAGAACTGGGGTTGAAACACAGACTGCATCTTGAAAACTCTTCTTCCCTTTTACCAGGATTAGCTCCACACAATTTCTCCTCATTCTTGGTTTGCGGTCGTTTTGCCCTTTTGGGAGGATGGGGAAAGAACGTGGCTGTGAGTGAGCTGTGTGTCCGGGGGCATGCAAGAGGCAACTCAAGATCTAGTTCAAACCTGCAGGGCTTTGACCAACTCCCTGGGATTGGAGGCTGACATGAAGCGTGTCGTTTTGTGCGTCGGCAAAAGCAGGTTTGAACAAACCCACGACGCTTGTTCTCGGCCAACAATAAATAAGATGTCCATTCATTCTTATGCACTGATCGCCACCCCCTCCCAAAAAAATTGCAATTAATGCATCCAAATGCTGCATGTGCACATTTTCTTTCTTTTTTATCACCACACTTGTCTGTGACGATAGAGATAAAGATAAGATGCATGTTATGGAAATAAAAAGCACATCTAAGGGAGTGGGAAGTGCCAATTTGAAATTGAACAGGAAATTATGTACTTCACTCGTGGAAGGGATATTAAAAGCTATACTCCTGTGCCTAGAGACAGGATGCAGGAAGGGGCGATGCGATGGAAGGTGACAGTTCAATCAGACTCTCCAGCTTTCATATGGAGGTGGTGGGGGGGTAGAGAGGCAGGGGGGCTGTGATTAATAATGTGCTTCGATTCAATGTGCTGGAATGTACTATAGTGTAGAAGATAGGAGCCAAAGCCATGAATGGTGTCGGGTATAAATATTTGATCATAGCTTTGCTACACACAACTAGAACCACCAGGAACTAGCTCAGGTACTCAGAACCTGACAGGTAGGGATGTGTATTTTTGAAATTCTGGCGATACGATACATATCACGATACAGGGGAGATGATACGATATATTGCGATACATTCAGTCAGACGTTACATGCAATTTTTTATTGAATTTATTGTAAGAATGTTCAATAAACAGTCCAAACTGATACGTAACATGTTTAACATGAGGTAGCTGAACCATGATGGAGGGATTTACATTTCAGTGGTGGAAACAAAGCCCGCTGCACACTGCTGCCAACTAGCGGGTGGCGATTGAATTGCGCAAAGCAAAAAGAAAATACACACGTTTGCATGTAAATTCTTTCAGGAATTAGATACACGGCTTTTGAATATCGATGTAATGATCGCAGGAAAAAATATCACGATATATTGCCATATCGATATTTCCGATACACGGCTTTTGGATATCGATGTAATATTGTTGGGGAAAATATCACGATATATTGCCATATCGATATTTCCGATACACGGCTTTTGGGTATCGATATAATATTGCTGGGGAAAATATCACGATATATTGCCATATCGATATTTCCGATACACGGCTTTTGAATATCGATATAATATTGCCATATCGATATTTTCTTACATCCCTACTGACAGGGGATCTTGTATGTTTACCGGTCAGAAGCACAAGGTGTGCGTCATCACCTTCTAATAACCCTAAACACGTTGAACTAAACAAGGGAAATCCCTCAAGTCAGCAGCCTAATACATGTTTACATGTGTAATGGTCTTCAAGTGCACTACAACACCCACACGCCTGCAGCTCACATTAGAGTTTCATCTTATAGTATGCGGGGGGATGTGTCAGTTATCAGATGAATAACGCTTTAATAGGGGAAAAAATAAAATAAAAAACCTCTTGAAGAGTAAAAGCAAGTCTTTGCTCCCTTTTGATTTCCAAATAATCAACAGTATGTTAAAAATGTTAAAAGCAGGATCGGCTTTAAAACTTACCTTCCGTTCATAACAGCTGTTCATCATGAGGGCAGAAAAGCCTCTTTTCCCTCGTCTTCTCCCTCTCTCTCTGTTCAAAGTTACCCGTAAAGCGATGGAGCAGGTTTTTGGACTTGGTCCTAATTCAGGTCAGACTCGTCTGATAAGCCGACTGCAGCGGTCTGAAGCAGCTAGGATGTCCGGGCACCGAGGTAAACAACGGCCACGCAGCCGGCTGTAGGCACAGCGAGCACGGAGGTGTCCGCTCTCAGCAACACAGGTCGGACAATGACACCGGCTGGGCTCGAAAACAGACACAAACGTCGCTATTTTTTTTTTACCGAGGGGCGAGGAAAGGGCGAAGCACCTCAGCAAACAAAAATGACGAACAGAGAAAGCAGCTAAATGATGTGAGCTATAGTTAGCAGTGATGTCGGCCGCTGAGAGGTTTTACAAAAAAAAGGAGAATATCAGGCAGTGGGAAAAATCGCAGAACAGTTCTCGTGGAGCAAGCCGACGTCTGTCAGCCAACCAACTTGTTTTAAAGTGCAAAAGAAAGGTTTTGTTTAAGTCTCCGGCTGGACGACTGGCGGGCGGCTGGCCACCGCGAACAGGAAACGAGTCGCGGCTCCGGTGAAATACATTCTGTGTTGATCCAAACGACGGAGCGGAGCGGAAACCCGCGGTAAGCGTTCAGGGAGCTGTCGTCGACAGCGCTCTCGCGGCCATTTTGTTCAAACTAACAACACCGCAGTCTGCCTCTCCTCCTCCCACTGAGCAGACACGCCAGGAAAGGCTTCCCGATACGTTGCTCTCGACCAATCAGAGCACGGGATCCTGACTCCGCCCGTCCGCCCCGCCCTCCGCCGTGGACGGACCCAGAACGCGTTCAGTGAGTAGAGGACGGACAGCAGGACGGAGACACGGACACAGCGGCGTAGTTGTCCCAAAAGTAGTCTGACTGTGGTTGGCTGTCATTGAGAGAACACACGCAGTCTAGAAGTACGCCACCTTTATAAAATTAGCACCCAGATCTTTGAATTTGCAAGGGTTCCCAGCCTTTCTGCAGGGTGGAGATGGGGGTATTTATCTAGTGGGCCAACAAATGCCAACAAATTGTCTGTTTTCCTAAATAAAGTATCTCTACAATAAATAGTTTTAAAGTATTTTTGTGGAGACTATTTGACTTTGTTTACATATATGGAGGTCCAACAATGCCACCTTGCTAGACACTCGTTTGCCCCTCCCCACCCCCAACCCTTGTAAAATGCTCTAGATCTGCCACAACGAGCCATCACCCTCAAAGTTAGTTTTGATCCATTTCTTTACCACATTAGGAGTAGGCCTACATTTGGGGTTGCTAACTTGCAAGCAGATCAACTGTACTGCCTACTGCTCTCTTCCTGAAGGCTTCCTGATACTGTCACCTAGAGCTGCACCATTCTCCCCTCCATGCATGTTAATGTAGATGTTTGAGTTTGGCTTTATGAGCTTGGAACATTCAACTAGTGTCAGTAGAAAAGAGCAGTCCATTAAGATAAATAAGAGGTACTAGAACTTGCAATTGGGCATCGCTGGACCTTTGTATTGAAATCTTCATGAGAAGATAACCGAGTAAGTATGCCTGTACAGTGATCCCTCGTTTATCGCGGTAGATGCGTTCCAGACCTGGCCGCGATAGGTGAAAATCCGCGAAGTGGGACACCATATTTACATATATTGAATTATAGTTTGATCACATTCTCTTTTTGTGGGTAAAACTCAAGAAATAAAATTTTTTACTTGTTTTTTTATAGTTTTATTACGAAAAGTGCATTTTATGATGAAATTGATGAAAAAAAACTGGTATTTCTTGATATTTCGCATAGAAAAATGCCGCGAATCGGTGAAAAATACAGCGAATCGGCGAATTTCCCTAGAATAAGGCTCCAAAGAAAAAATCCGCAAAGTCGTGAATCCGCGATAAGCGAACCGCGAAGTAGCGAGGGATCACTGTAGACACAAAATATAAAAAAACTGAGAAATAAAATGCTTCCAAATGCATTTATGAAATAGCAAAATAGAGTTTTCAAAGTTTTCAGGCAATGAAGATTTCTATTATATTTTTTCACAGACTGAACTGGTTTCAATAGAACAAATCTAATTTTTACACACAAATTGACCTTTTTCAAGAATGTCACATGACCTGCAGAAACACAGGGCGATAACAACTAGTCACAACATGACAGAAACCTGTGTGGAGCCCCCTGAACTGCATCTGCAGCCGCTTCTTAGAAATAAAACACGGCCCCTGTCCATTCTCCGCTCTCCTTTCTCATGGAAATGACTGTGCCGTGAGCGCGCGCGCACACACACACACACACACACACACACTGCAGTGGGAACAGGTCAGGACTGTGTTCTGCAAAGGGTAAGGCTGACCAGTGAGAACGCTCCTGCACACTGTTGGGTAGAGACTACAAATGAGAGAGCTGAGGGGCCCTGGCCAGTAGTCCCCCCCCTCTTTTCAAGGCACTATGCCCAGAGCTATTAAAGCAGCAAGCTTTCACTAAATGGAGAAAGCAGATGTTCCATGTTCAGGGTTAAGAGAGGTGAGCGCAGGGGGAAATGCCTTCAGAAACACCGTGGGGGAAATGTACTTCTCTGTCACTGAAAGTGTAGGAATTTACTTTTGTTATTTCTATAAATAGCTGGAAAACGTTTTTAATGTTTATTGCATGTTGCAAACTAAAGTGCATCATCATGGCTGAAATTAAGTGAGGGAAAGCAATGAATGGGAGTGGACAGGAACCACTCAGGTGTGTGTTATCGCCGGGGCAACGTGAAAACGTCCCTCCTTGGGCACGTCTGCTCTGCAGCTTATCACCGCTTTTCATTCAGATGTCGTTGTTTCTTTGACTTTGACAATTTTCCTAATTGCTCTCACATTTAAGCAGACTGCTGACAGAGCCAAGTCAACGGGGAAGCGTTCGTCCGACATTCTGACGTGAAACATCCCAGAAACAAGCGGTTGGACTGCAGTCGAGGCGACCGCGTGCCCCCTTCCCACCACAGACGCTTCCTCTCCCCCCTCTCTCCATCTTCCCCAGCGCACTCTTCTACCTTTTGTTTCAGATCCAGTTCAATCGTGAGCTGCGTTCTGCATAAGGTTTTAATTTCAAGCGTGCTGCCCAAGCCTGCACACTCGTGCACACAAGAATGCACGTGAATGCACCAAACCCTGAGATTCTTATGCACACACACACATTTGACTATCCTGTTGCAAACATTCTCACACACTTAAATGTTACATGGCCGCATGCATATTTAATGCATCTGCTCTTTGGGCTGCACTTCAGCATTTAAACACGCTCCTCATGAGACAAGGTATTTCAAACGTTAGTTACCACATCCAGGGGTGGATCTACAAGGGTGGCATAGGGTGGCGGTTGCCACCCTAAAAGAAAGCCTTGCTACCCCTGCTGCCACCCCAGCTGGCAGCTATAAATTCAAGAAAAATCAAAGTTTTTCAACTCTCAGGCTCATAAAGACCTATTTGCTGTCTGCTTTGGCAGAGAAAAGACTATGAAGCTAGGCTGTACTCAGCATTGAATCAAAATGGGCAGAATCTTTGGATCTTGATGAATGTGTAAATAGTTTTGCTGAGCAACATGGAAACTGCCGCATTCAGCTGTTGTAGGAAGGATATAATTTTATTATGTGTTTTATTTTCGTGATGGGCCTTTAAGCTTATTAAATGAGGACCCAAAACAGATGAATATGTAAATACTGGGAAAAGAAAAAGGAAAACGTGTTTTTGAGTGAACAATAGAACCAAAGTACAATATCTCAGTGCAGTGAAATATTGTGTGTGTGTGTGTGTGTGTGTGTGTATTGCCACCCTAGAAAAATGTTTGCCCCTCTTCTGCCACCCCATCAATAATTTTGTAGATCCGCCCCTGACCACATCCATTAATAAAAGTCAGACAAATGACACAAACAGAATCCTATCCAGTTATGTTTCTATCTTCAGAATCAAAAATGAAATTGTCATTTGTAACAGAGACAGTGTTTTCACAGAAACATTTGCTATTAACTGCCTAATTGTGTTCCCTCATTCTCAAATACAGAGCACGTCTCTACATCTTAACGTGTAATCTCCTGGAATTAATCAAACAAACACGATCCGAGAGGTAACCAAGCACGTGAAGACAGCTCCAAGTCTGAAAGCAGATCTTGGCTTTAAATCTTAGTTCCCCGGAGACTGCATTCCAGAAGAAGACGTTCAGAGCTCGCTGTGTGACACAGAATGCCTGATGAGCTCCGGGTGTCTTTTAGTATTGATTATGAATACAGAATCCTCTTCGACAGTCTTGGCTTTACGCACGTGAGCACTCAAAATGCAGACAGTGAGCCACTGCCGTTTCGCTCAAAGTGACATTTTCCAACGGCATGACTTATGCAAAGGAACAGCCGCGACGATGTTTCTGATGGAGGTAGAAACGGGCTCCTAAGTGCACACGAAAGAAGAATCTCGCGCAGCGTCTTTCCTCGGTTGTGCTACGTCAAGGCACAATCTGAGTGGGAGCTGTGCAGTTGGGCTGAAACATTCATTGAGAGTTTGTCTCACTGATTAGCAGCGTGGCTGAAGTGCCTATCCATTAAATAACAGCACAGAGGGGTGAAGCCCTGCTGAGACGCTCATTGCTCATCTCTGGAGTCTGCAGCGTTGCACCGAGTGATAAGTCAGACTGCCAGTAGCTGAAGGCACAGTGGCCCAGATCAGGAGGAGAAGGGACTCTTTCTATTAACTTTCAAGTGAATTTCTCTTTAAAGAGAAATCATCAGTTGGTGATGGTGCTTGCAGGGCCGTGTCCAGGACTTTTAAAATGGGGTGGCCCATGTGGGGCACTTGTTTATTCATGGGTGGCACCAATGGTTATGCTTATTTATTTATTTACACAAATCGTTTATTTATTTATTTACTTTCTAGTGAATTTTTGAGTTTCACAATGCACAATCACCATTTTTTCCCCTCTTCATCTTCTACTTTTGTGGTGGTTAGCAAGTCACTTCTTGTGTCATTACTGCCACCAACTGGAGTTGAGTGGGACTCTAAAATATTGTGTATGTGAATATGAAAAAATATTAAATAATATTAATACTACACACCTGGGCTAGAAAACGAGGTGAAAGGTGCATGCAACCACACACTATTTTGGAGTTTACAACCCAAGCCTTTTGTCGACAATGTAAAGTCAATTTAAACTGGAACTTAGTGTGGTGGCACCTGGGGTGGCCAATCAGATTCTAAAGTCGGGCGTACACTGTGCGACTTTTTCACTTTTTTGAGCCGATTTTCCACTCGTGCGAGAATCCACGACATCGGGGCGAGTTTTACGCCGAGCGGTCGTGTAGTGTACAGGGGGTTACGAGAGGCGATTAACACCACGTGACCAGCCGCTGATCAGCAGTCGTGAGGTCGCACGGACTTCTGGTGTGTTTAATATTTCGTCCCTCGTGAGGGTATCGCACTGTTGAAGTGGCGCTGCGAGCAGCTACGATCCAAAAAGTATCAGAACCGCTCACGGCGCATGCGCGCGCAATCCTGCATCAACGCCGGTCGCTCGCTATTTCCCTAATAACACACGCTGTTCGTTTTTGTTTCTACACGTTTTTTTACTCACAAAGATTGTCAAGAAAGCGTGTTTGTCGTGTTCTTGTCAAATTAAACTGATCACTAAACACAGATTTACTTTCTTTATTTTGTTTTCCTCATCCAACCCC